ACATCCTGCAGAAATAATCTGGTTTTAGACTGCTTTAACTTCCTTGGCTCAATGCTAGAGAATTCTGAGAACTGTAGTTTTGTGACACATTTAGTCTTCTCTGTCAGAGAGCTCTGGTGCCACAGTAAACTACAATTCCTAGGATTCGCTAGCACTAAGCCAGGGCATTTAAAGTGGTCTTGAACTGGATTATTTCTGCAGCGTGTTTTGGACCTACAACAGAACAGGAAATGCCTGCTCATTCTAATTCCTGAGGATTTTAGCACATGTTTGTATCACATGCTAGGGAAAAGCTTCAGTAAGCAGCTACTTGTGCACTCTTTAGTTGGTTTAATGTCATGTGCAAGGATTTGTGTAATGGAAGATGTGACGACAGAGTCATGTTATAGCTCACTAGTAATGCAACTCAGGGGTGAAACAGACTGCCCCCACCGAAGATGGATTGGGGCCATGGCAACCTCGCACTGCGACCCCAATCTGCCTTTTTATGCAGGCAAAAAGCCAGCTTTTCCCACCCTGCCGCAGACTGAAGTCAGCTTTATGGCACTCTAGAAGGGGACGGTGTGTAAATGCTGTGCTGCCAGAGCACACAGAAGCCAGCCCATGTCTGGGCAGCTGGGCATCTTCTAGCCGTCTTGGGGCATGCAGCACCTAAACAGACCTCCAGGCCACCAGGAAGCCAGAGTTTCATGCCAGTCTGTTCCAGCTCTAAGTGACATTAATTTCTGAATGGTTCCAGTGTGCTATGTACCTGGGCTCCCATTTCTAATGGTCTGTTAAAATATTTTGAGCTAAATGTTCTCACTTAAAAATCAGCTCTTCAGTTCTAAGTTCCCCTTAGATAAACCACTATTGCTATCCTGCCAGTGTATAACACTAATATCTACCTTATAAGAATGTTATGAATGGATTTCTGAGATGATATGGGTATGATATGACACATAGCATTTTTAATGCTTTCCTTATAACTGTAGGATCTTAGTTTTGTTATGGAGTAAGTAAAATAAGTACCTGAGTAAAACTAAGTACCCATGGTGCTTTTACTTAAAAATCTGATTATTGGACCAGAGGAGGGGGATGTTCAGCCAGGTTGTTTTGGACAACTTCCATAACCCATATTGTGATCTGTGTATAAACTGTAGGCTGTGGGTGTCAGTATCCCCTTTTACTTCATGATAGTAATGCCCCTTTTAAAATCCTGGGACCAGTTTAGAGCTAGATCCAAATTTAAAGGGAACCTCAGCAAAGTGGCTTCTGAAGTTTTCAGTTATAACTGTGTTGCTCTATGAAGAGATAAAAGGTAGAGAAAAAGGAACCTTGTAGCACTTTTAAGGCTACACTGATGGAATGCAGTATTAAGGCTACAGATATGTAAGCACAATTACATAATTTTGTGGATTCAGATTGAAATGTAGTCAGAATGTTTATCTAAAGAAGTGGATTGCTATCCATGAAAGCTTATGCTGAAATAAATAAGGTAGTCTTAAACGTGGTACAAGATCCCATGCTTTTTATGTCTTCTGAAGAGCCCAGGACTTAGAAAAAAATGTTTTTGGACTATAGCTTCTAGAATTCTCCAGCCAGCATGATGAGTGGCCCAGTTGGATGAAGATCTTGGAAGATTTAGTCCCCAAATTAAATTTTACAAACACTGACCCCAATGTAGGAAGGATTCTTAGTTTAACATGCTTACTTTGTAATGACAGCAGCAATACTACACATGAAAATAGGCAGCTGGGTTTGAGGCTGCAACTTGCATTTCTAGACTAATGCCATAGTGCAGAAATAGTGAAAATTAAAATGGCACCTCCCAGACTCTTCACTGATAACACCACCAGCAAAACGTTTGGGAGCCCAAGACACTTGTCAGCCATGAACGCTATTTGGGTACTGGAGCATTGCTAGCTCTCAATAGCCTTGAACAGATGCAGATAGGTAATAGCTAATTCTATATGGGAACAGGTTGTTTATTTATTTATTTATTTATTTATTTATTTATTTCATTTGTATGCCACCTTTCTCCCAGAAGGGACCCAAGGTGGCTCACAAGTTGTTGTTACATGACTTCAAATCAGCTGATTTATGGTGATCCTGTTTTAGGAATTCCTTAGCAAGATTTATTCAGATGTTTGCCATTGCCTTCTTGTAAGGCAGAGAGAATGTGATTTGCCCAGGGTCCATTATTCAAACCTTGGTCTTTCAAAGTCCCAGTCCAATCTTCAATCCATATTGGCTTTCTTGTCAAACAGTATAATGGTAATATATTAGGCCATATGTCTCAAATTGTGCTGTAGACTTCCTAAAGAGGCTACTATAGCAGTTGGAGGATATTGTAAGAAAGAGATCCAGATTAATGTTTATTAATCTGTCTAAAATAACCTTCTATGATTCCATATTTAGTCTGCTTTTTCTAAAAAAAAATTTTTTAATTCTTTATTAAATTTCAGATGATTGCATGGCAAAGGAGTTTAGATGTGGCTTTCCTACCATTAACACACAAATTCAGATCAGTGAAGAGAAAAGATAAGAGTCAACATTTGCAGCAAATCTGTTATTCTGAAACATAACAAAAATACTCTTTCTATCCCTTTTAAAATTGGTATTGAGCAAAAGGATAGAGTGGAAGCCCTGGCATTTCCATGCTTCATAAATATAGTGCTTTACTGGAATTTGTTGTGGGTGGACTTTTCATGTCTTAGAGAAACCAGTTTTTGAAACTGAATAAGAGTAGCACTGCTGTATTTTACTTTGGAAAAATTAACAGACGTTTTGCTGTGTTTCTTGTGACAACTCCTATCTGAAATACAGAATTTTCCTCGGTGTGAACACAAGGGGGTGCTCACACCCATCCTATTTGTCAATTCTAGTCCAGTGCTGCCAACTCTCATGGCTATATGATGAAATTGATTATAAGCTTCATTGCTTTGCTCAGTCTTGTCCTTTGCCATCAATTGCACAGTATAGTGACAGTTGTATATACATAACAGAAACTTAAAGGCAAGAATCTTTTTTCCAGAGTTCTTGATTACTTCCATATTGCCTGTACGTTTGTGCATGTATTTGGATTTGGATTTTCTTACCTAAATGTCTCCTTTCTCCCTCTTCTTGCTATCTCATCTGTCTTTCAGCCATGTAAAATAGTAAAAGCCCAGACCTCTCTGCTTTTAAAGGACTCTCTGGAAGTTCACCTAACCAATGGAATCAGAGCTGCTGATGTGCTGAGGCAGTTCCAGAAGAACCTCTGTCAGAATGGCTGGAATATTGTCAATACAGTCAATCTTATGAAATGGTAATGCCCCCTCACCTTTCTGAAGTTATCAACAGATATAGTTCTTTCTGCTCTGTCCAGGAAAACCTCTTGCTCCGTAATATGCTGAAGTGTAGCAACCCGGGCCTCCAGCTGCTTGACTGTCTCTTCCAAGAGGGCTACAAACTTGCACTTGTTGCAGGTGAAGTTCCCCACATCTCTTGGCAAGAAGACAAATATCCCACAAGTGTTGCAGGTGACTGCAGCAACTCCCTCAGTGTCCATATTGAGAAATCTGAAGTAAGCAATGGAAGAGGACTGTGGGCTTCTCCCTCAAAAAGTCCCTTGGTAAAGACCCACGTAAAGGGCCCCTGTGCTCTTGGTCTTTTCGCCAGGCTCAGTCAGCGAGCTCAATCAACTGAGTTTCTAACTCTGCAGAGAGCTCCTGGATGCTACTTTATTCTGGAGTCTCTGTCTCTTTCCCTCTGAACAAAAAACAACCACCTCAAAGCCTTTTGAATGATGATGATGATGATTAGGAGAACCTGTAAAGAGAAAGGTCAAAGCCCCCCATCTACCTGTGCTGTGCTTTCCCTTGTTCTATGAAAAAAATTCCTCTGGGAGGAGTTGTACAGAACTAATTGGCTAGCTCAGCAACAGTCACACTCTCTCCAAGTGATTTTAAAAAGAATGTAAAAACTCACCCACTCAAAATGGCTGCCCACAAACTTCTTTCCTTCTTCCTACCAGAAACTAGCAGCAATTTGTGTTTTCAAACACCTGCCTATTAAAATGTCTTTTGTCAGATGTAGTTTAGCACCCAGAGCATTAATTCTGCTCAACACTGTGATTGTCTACTAACACTGAAAGTCTTGGCATAGCTGTGACCTTGTAGTGAGTAAGGTTCATATAAACTGTTAAGGTCAGGGCTGCTGAAATGAAGCTAGTGTGGCCCCTGCAAGCTGCCTAAAGGGGAAATCACCTGGGAGCCATCTTTAAATAGCTTTGAGAAGCTTGAAGGAGACATACAAGTAAATGCATAATAAACATCAATCACATTCACAGTTTGCCTATGTCAGGTTATGACATATAAAATCTTCTGAGATAATGCATAATACTGCTTGCATCTGTTAGCATGTTCCACAGGCATGGAAAGTTTCTGCCTCCTCCTGCCCCAAGTGACATGTATATCTGAATAACAGGGAGGTTAAAGTGGTAGAAGGAGACTCTGGCGTGACACAATGGATTTCATGCATTAGCACTTAATACTCTATTAACAACAACCATTTTCACCTGGGACTGCTGCAGTTTTCCTTCACACATTCAAGCCACTCCAGAATTGGCTGTTGAAGCAAGTCTAGTGGTGTTGATAGGCATTGATTTTTTAGCCTTTTTTATTTTTGCTCTGAGAAAGGATTGGAGAGTGTGGGAAAATAACTATACCACCTACACTTTGTGATCCCTTCTCCACAAGGGACCCTGGGAATTATCATCTACAGGGCTGTGCTGAGTAGGTAACTAGGGGGAAATCTGTGAAAGAGTTCCATGCATCCTTATTAAACTACTATTTCCAGAATTCTTGGGGGTGGTTGTTATGGTGGTGTACATTCAAGTCATTTCCAATTTATGCTGACCATAAGGGGAATCTATTGCCAGGTTTTCTTGATAAGATTTGTTCAGAGGCAGTTTAACTTTGTATTCCTCTGAGGTTGAGAGAGTGTGACTTACCCTAAGTCATCCAGTGGGTTTCCACTGCCAAGCAAGGATTCAAACCCTGGTCTCCAGGCATAGCCTGACACTCAAACCACTGCACCATATTGGCTCTCAATTACATGTAAACTCGCATAAAACTGAATTAAGTTGTAGTCTGAAGGTTTCAGTTCTTCACATAACTACAGTGTAGAAGTTCCATTAAATTCAGTGGAATTTAGTTCTGAATAGACAAGAACAGGATTAATCTGTCATTCTTTCTAGCAGGGGATACAGTCAATCTGTGCTTTTCATCTTTTTGTAGTGACTTTATGGAAGCCTCTTCAAAAACCATTTGCTACAATTTTACTTAAGTTCCATCTGCTATATATACCATTTTACATGATCTGACATTTTAAAGTTCATGCTTTGGAATCTAAACTTTAGATCATGGGCAGGAATGGACAACTATAGAGGAAGAGGAGATCATTTTTCACCCCTGTAACCCACCAGGGGCTCTGATATGACAGGATGTGATAAAAGAAAAACACACACACACGCTTCCACAAGATGTTACAAGTATACAGTTGGCCCTCCATTTTCACGGGGGGATCTGTTCCGGACCCTCCTATGAAAATGGAGATGCGCAGATATTCAAGCATCCCTCCATTAATATGCAAAACTACGGACTTCAAGTCTGTGAGAATGGAGGGGCGACTGTATAGACCAGGGGTAGGCAACCTTTTTGAGCCGGGGGCCGATCCCCCGAAGTCCTCTCTTCTGGCAGGCCCGGGGGGGGGGGATGGCAATGAGTGCGCTCACATGCGCATGCGCAACTTCCGCTGCCATGCGCGACCCCCGTGCACACGCTGCCACCGCCACCTCCGCACATGACGTGGCCACCATTTTGTTTTCTGCAGTACTGTGCATGCGCAAACACGTCACGGCCACCATTTTGGAAAAGAAAATGGTGGTTGCGGCACGCATGGCCACGCGGTGACCAAAACGCATGGCAGGTGGCGGCTGCAGCAGGGGTCCGCCTGGGCCGGTAAGCACGGGGCCCTGGGCCGGAACCAGCCCGGGGGCTGTAGGTTGGCAGCTCCTGGTATAGACCCTAAACAGATCAATATACCTACAACATCGTGTGACATGATGTCATATCATTTCTAGTTTCAGTTTCAGCTAGTGGAGAGCTGTTTAAAAGCTGCTTGAGGTAAAAGTCTTGTGTTCTGTAGCAGTTTTGAGCAATTTCTGTTTTAGGATAAAAGCATTTTTCATTATTTTTCCCCCTTTAAAATGGGAGACTGGGAGGTTTGTTGCCTCTCTTGACAGTTTCAGGGACCATAAAATGGCTCCAGAAGGCTACATGTGGTCCACAGGCCACACATTCTTTTTCAAGGGTAATACTTGATTGTCTTGGTGTCAGAGTTGGTTGTTAATAATGTTCTACTTCATTTTGTTTTGCAGTAATGGCTCAGTAGATTCAATGAACTTGCTACTTTATGAAGTTGGTGGCAACATAAGTAAGTGAATTTATAATTATTCTTAATGGTTATGAGTGTGAAGCCAACTGAGTGAATATGTGAGGTTGAGCAGTGAAAGGCTTAAGCTGTTGCAAGAATGATTCCATGAGGAAGCAGTAGGTGTATAAACCAATGCATTTCCATGCCATGTCACAAAGTATGCCCTAATCACATGCTATGCCTTGATCTAAGCAAGTTCCCCCCCCCCCCAAAAAAAATACTGAAACAGAGCCTGGCTGAGCCAATAGCTCTGGCAATAACACTATGTTCCCTGGGGCAATAGAAGTGTGTCCCACAGAAGAGTGAAAGTGCCAACATCTGAAAATTCAACAAAACCCAGCAACACATTGATGTAGGTATCAATCCAACATCATGGTAGCAGGCAGAACTCCCCTGAGGAGTTGCTCTTTAGAGTTTCCCAGTGTTCTGGGATAGGTTTTGAGGATACACTGGTGTGGAGTGTGGAGGGGGGAGAGGGGAGCCATCTCCTGGTTCTGCTGGTGGAAGAATTTCTTTAGCAGAGCAGTTCTGTTGAGTCTCTTCTGTATTACTGTGTATGTTATAATTTTTGTACATATCTGTGAGCACTGGTATATGTGAGTGTGTGAGACAGTATGTTTAAAATTTACACATGAATCAAGTTCTATTTTGAACAATATTATTTCCTTATAAAATGTTTAAATATGAATATACAGGAATATGTGAATGAAAATACACACACTAAACTAGGGGTAGGCAGTCTTTCCCCTTTAAGGGCCGAGGGACTTCAGCTCCCAGAAGCCTCAGCCATGTTGGCCAATAGTCCCATGTTGGCCAATAGCTCCTGGGATTCTGGGAGTTGAAGTCCCTCGGCCCTTAAAGGAGAAAGGTTGCCTACCCCTGCACTAAACAAACCATTTTATTTGTATACTGTGTTGAGAAGGGGCACAACACTGGCATGTAGATGCAAAGAGGGTCACAAGGGTAAAAAGATGGAGAAGTGCTAGCTAAGAGGGATGAGATGGAATGTGTACACTGCATTTCTAGATACAGAAAAAAAGATTCATCACTTTTTAGACTTCATTTAAAAATGTATTTTCTTTCCTAACAGGTGAGCATTGCCTGGACCCAGACACATACCTCTTAGACCTGTACCATGTGAATCCTCATGCAGAATGGGTTATAAGGCCAAACCCATCTTTTTCAAGAATGTTCTGTGATGATCATCCAGGGAAAAATCCAACCAAGTTCTGCTAAATAAATTGTCAGGGGCAGGAAATTTCAAACATAACCTATGCCTCAGTAATTATTGTTTAAAATGGGTCAACTGACTGCGGGATAAGAAACAATTTCTTTTAAATGTTCATATGGACAAGTAGTCAGTGGGAGTTGACAGATTATATAGATTATGAACATCTGTAGCAAAGGACTACTAATGAAAACTGTCAGGAGTGGAAATATTAAAAAGAAGAAGAAGAAGCACCATGTCTTTGAAGGAACTGATAGAGATCATCTGATGTTGAGCATTGATTAATTAACTGAAGATGCCTAAAATCCTCACATTGGAGGAAAGTGAATCCAGAATCTCAATATGCTGCAGTTAGTGAACACCTTTATAACAGGAAGCCATGTACTTGGACTAAGACATCTTGGATAGATGTGGGTGTTTTGTAAAAAATCATTTTATTTCTGGAGAGCTTAATCAATAAATTGCTCAGAGTGTAGGGAGAGGAAGTGGAAGTGCTGTCTTCAGAATACAACAGTCTAATCAGACTAATAGTGAAATAGTAACTATGCACAACTGTATGTAGAATGTCATCTGTGATGCATTCTAACATGGCAGTCCAATACATAAATTGTATTTGTGTGCATGCACAGTTTTTCTGTGACTTTTTAAAAAATGTAATGTGCTCCAAGAGCACCTTCCTACTTAGTTATACTAAACCACTTCAGTATTATGCTTTCATTATAGTTTTTTTAATTTTTAAGGTGGATTTAAGATCTCTATCTGGTAGTAATAATTTCCTCCCAGCAAGAAAATTCAAATAAAGACTTCTCTTCCTTCTCCTTACCCTTTCATCAGTGGTTGTGTTGAAGATAATCCATAAGCACCTGAGCCATATAGATTTTTTTGGTCTTAATTGAGGTTTTTATACTATTTTCTTTTTTTAAATTTTGTTCACAGGTTTATTTACCAAAATCCTGTTGAATTTGAGTAGGTTATTCATATAGAAAATTCATATATGTACTTTGAAATTAAATTCCTTTCTTCTGGAATCCTGTTTTCTCTGAAAAAGAAACAAGCTGAAATAGCCATCTAAACTCCCAAGAGAGTTTTCCTCCTTACTGTGGCTGTTTTAAATACCTCTGCCTTTTCACATTCAGGAAAGTAACTGTATTATGAGAGTTCAGGAATTAACAGAGGTATTTTTAAAAGGATGTGCCATTTTGTTTTCCTATAGACTTGTGGACCTAGGAAAGCTACATACACTCTTTTCCACAATCAAAAGATCCCAGCTAGTGTTGTCAGAAGAACAAATTGGTCAGAACAAAATATAAACTATTTTGAGTAGGTACTGAAGGAAGGTTTCACTCCTTTTGACATAAAAGGATGTTGTCTTGTGCCATACAAAATTCACAGCAAGCTACCTTGTCTGAAACAGACTATCTAGAAGTGGCAACTTGGGGAGCATACAGATTTGCCAGATAAAATATTTTGATCTCATTAAAGTTACCCAGAGCAAATATCCTGTCACATTACATAATTATAGCACCATGATTTTGCTTTAACTGCCATGGGTGCATCCTAGTATTTGTTGGTAGTAGAGCTCTCTGACTAGGTTTCTAAATGTCCCTCCCTAAATTGCAAATCCCAGGATTAAAGTGGAATTGTGCTATAATTGTGTAGTGTGAAAAGGGCTGAAGTAGTGTTAAGTAAAGAGTGCTAATTCTTGTATCAAGGATCAGGACACAGTTTAATAAGGACTAGTCTACTTTTTATAGTATGATGGTTATTCTCCACCAAGAACATTCAGTTTTGTACTTAGGACCAATTGGAATGAAAAGCAATGAGAATGAAAAGGAAATTGCTGAATTTAGATTCTTAAAAAACACTAACAAAGCCATGAGAAATAAATATTGTGGAAAACTATATGGAAAAACATATCTTAAGATAAGTGAACTAACATTTGAAGAGAAAACACTTCCATCTCAACTCTGACCATAATGTTAATCTTTTGAATGCTTTTGGTGTCCTTTTGGCACCAGTTAAAGCATTGCCTCATAACATGTAAAGCTCATTTGTTTCTATGTGTGTGTTTTGATGATGACTTATAACATTTTAATGCTGTATTTAAAACAGTCAATAAAGAAATAGGCATATTTTAAAAACCCTTTTCACCCTGTCCCATATTGTATTTTGTCAGATTTCTTTTTGCCATAAAAAGATGGAGAAACAATGGTTCTTCATTGTGAGTTCAGTGCCTCACACAAATGGGATTTACATCTGAGTAGAGATCCTGTTCAAAAAGTTCTAGAACTGAGTAGCTTTTGGTTGGAATCCTCCCTCCCTCCAAGCACACACACCTGCCTGCTAAAGCTACTGTCCCCTCAATCTCTTCATCTGCTACTA